CATTTCTCTAAAGAGGACATACAGATGGCCAACAGGCATATGAAAAAATGTTCAACCTCACTAATCATTAGGGAAATGCAACTAAAAACCACTGTGAGATACCACTTCACTCCAGTCAGAATGGCTATCATCAATAAATCAACAAACGGGGCCGGCCAAGTGGCTCAGTTGGTTAAGAGCTCTCTCAAAAGTTTGAGCTCTGAGCAACAGCGGTTCGAGTCCAGCCCGAGCTGTGCAGCCGCTGAGCTGCCAACAGGTAGCAGGATGGCTCAGCTTAAAAAAATAAAATAATAAAATAAATAAATAAATAAATAAATCAACAAACAACAAGTGCTGGCGAGGCTGTGGAGAAAAGGGAACCCTGCTGCACTGTTGGTGGGACTGCAGATTGGTGCAGCCACTATGGAAATCAGCAAGGAGGTATCTCAAAAATCTGGAAATGGAACTACCGTATGACCCAGCAATTCCACTCTTGGGTATCTATCTGGAAAAACCCAAGATGCTAACTCGAAAAAATATATGTACCCCTATGTTTATTGCAGTGCTATTCACAATAGCCAAGACTTGGAAACAACTGAAATGCCCATCAGTTGATGACTGGATTAAGAAACTGTGGTACATTTATACAATGGAGTATTACTCTGCTATAAAGAAGAATAAAATTGTACCATTTGGGACGATATGGATGGACCTAGAGACTATTATGTTAAGTGAAATAAGTCAGTCAGAGAAAGACAAATATCATATGATTTCACTTATATGTGGAATCTAAAAAACTGAATGAATGAGGAAAGTAAAGAGAAGTGGTCTCAGAGACACAGAGGAAAAACTGATGGTTGCTAGTTGGGAGGGGGGTGGGATGAGGGAGAAGGGGAAGGGGTTAGATAGCATAAATACGTAACTAGAATATTGTCACAGGGACATGAAAGACAGTTCAAGGAATATAATTAATAATGTTGTAAATATTTTGTAGGATGTGTGGTGGTCACATGTCTTGCTAGGGAGACCACTTCATGGATGGGGTAGAGGCTTGATCACTGCACTGTACACCTGAAGCTGATGTTGTATAATGTTGTATGTCAACTATAAGTGAATATATATAAATATATAGTCATGGGATGTGGAGCATAGTGTGGGAGTGGAGTCAAGGGAATTGTAATAGATATGTATGATATTGGGGGGAAGTGGGGTGGCAGATTGTGGGAGGGGGGTTGTCACCTCGAGGGGTAAAAAGTATAACTATTGCACTGTGTTGTACAGCTGAAACTAATTCTAAAAAATGTGTATATCCCAATTAAAAATAATTAAAAACAACACAAAAAACAAAACAAAGAGATGTGGTACATGTCCCACACGAACACCCCCACTTTGTGGTAACCCCGCTCATTTAGCTTCTTCTTGATTTCACTAACCATCAACATAAGTTCCTTCATGCATTGAGAAGTCTCCTTTTCCTGGTGGAAAAAAAATATCATTGACAAAATTTCTGACATACTTCAGTGACTTCCTTGTGTGGATTCCCCATAAAATCCAGCAGAAATACAACAAGGTAATGACAACAGCAACTGGTGCTCTCACTCCCACGGACTTCAGATCACAAGCCCCACAGGTGCCCGTGTCAAGGTCAGGTAACGTCACGGCGGCCTGTAATCATGATGTGTTATTGTTACTCACATAATTATCACGTGGAATCTTCCTAAATATGGAGCCCGCTAAATGGCGATAGGCTTTCAAGAGGAGGAACTCACATTTCTGAAAAACAAGGAGGCTGTGCATGAAAAGCAGCTTGCAGAGAATAACCCATATATGTGCCCAGGCTAGGCATGACCATACTAGGCTTCTAGACGTTTCCCTGAACAGGTTTGGCTCTAGGAACCAGTCATGTAATGGCTGAGCTACTTTCTGGTGCAAACAAGTTCAATTTTCGGTGTGATTGAAACGTGGCTCAGAAGAGCAGGCTTCTTTTGGGGCCCTCCTCCTCCCCTATGACTCATTTCTCAAGTGAGAGCAGGAAGGACAAGGCCTGGGGTTTGAATCTGACTCACCAACTGCTCCTCAGGCCCCATCTGCCTCTCCAGGACCTCAGATCCCCTGTGACACTCCCGACTTCCTGAAGACGCTTCTCCTGCAGAAGGTGCAACTCCTTGGGCTCCTGAGAGATGGGGTATAAGTGAGCAAAGGCAAGGATCCTGGAAAAGCCACCATTTCTATGGCTGCCACTGTCGATGGGCTCAGATAAGGGACAAAGTGGACACTTCCCATAGTATCCAAGACCCCCATGTGAGGTCTGAGCTGAAGACTCACCGTCTCCTATTGAGGGTAGCAGCTGGACGACCAGGGGGTGGAGGGTGGTGTCAGAGTGAGTGTTGAGCTGTCTTTTCCCCATCTGAGCTCCAGGGAGCACAAGGACCCCTGCCCAGCCAGAACTGAGTGTCAAAAACTTGGCCTTGACCCCCTGGGGACCTCAGGCCTCTGTCAGTTGAACCCATGGCAAGAGAGGGAACCAGGCCATGTTTCTGCCATTTCTGAATAAGCACATAACACAAACCACTGGCATTGTCACCCCTGTGAACAGGAGCTCTTGCTGGAAAGGTTCTAGGAAAGGACAGAAGCAGCATGTAGGCAAAGGATGCAGCCACCGGCCTCAGCACCCACAGGAGAGAGGAGAACGTTACTCTCCTGCTGCCAGTGTCTTTAAAGAGCTCCCGGATCAATGGTGTTGCTGGAGCCTGTGCCTACAGCTCTGCTCTTTCCCCACCAGGACACATTTAGGACCTCTGCAGGGGGACTGTGCCTTAGGAGGAAGGATCCCTAATAAGGGAGGAGGTGACTCATCTCACAAACCTCTCAGTTTCCACACGTGGGATGTGACAGTCCTCATGAAAGGATTTCAAACAAGTATCACAGCAGAACAGCTTCCCTCCATCCTGGCAGATCTCACATACATCTGAGTTTTTCTGCTAGAAGGTAAAACAATGTATCGCTGGTGAGACCCCAAAGACCAGCATGATGAGAATGTAGAACTCATAGCCTTTTGTGAACCTGCATGGACACTTATGTGCTTCTCCCTGGGCTATAAGAAACAGCATGGAGTGCAAATTTCAGAAGAATCATGGTCTGCAGTGAAATTCAGTAGGAGGGCTCTGTGTGTGAGACCAGAAAAATTGTCCCTATAAACCCAGAGATTCTAACACAGAAAGACTAGCAACAAAAAGAGACAATGATTTTATAGGCAGCTGAATCATTTAGTTACGTTGCAGATAAAACAAGGTCCTGAAATAAAGTGTTAACTCCATTTGCCTGCACCATTGTGACTAAAATGACTTGTGGAAAGATGGTACATAGAGAATTTAATAAGTTAGAGTAAACTTCTAAGAAAGGACTGCATCCTGTTTTCATGGGTGTAGGCTCCCCATGAGCTGAAGGGCCTGGGAGAGGCTCCTAGACTGTGGATTCTGCGCCTGGAGGCCCCTGTGCCTGTGACAATGCCATGGACACAGATGACCAGTGGGTGCCAGGGAGGATGGCACTCTTTGGCTGTGGGGGCCTGGGGAGGATTCAGAATCAAGTGGTTGGGTTGAAGCACAGGCATTGTATTTTTCTTAAGTCACAGAGAGAGTAATTTGTGCAACAGCTTCATCTATGGACTATTAAACAATCCATGTCCAAGTGCTTGTCAGGCTGATGAAATCAGAATTTCACTGAAGGTGGGGTCCAGGCAGCGCTATTTTACAAAGGTCTTCAGGTGGTTCCAGGGTGAAGCCGGAGCTGAGATTTAGCCTGAGTAAGTGTGGTTATTAAGGCAGGGGTATTGTAAGTCAATGTTGAATTGGCCTGTAATATCTCTCCCAGGATAGATTATTAACAGGGGTGAGGGTACTCTTTCTCAAACAGCTGCCCTCTCCTCCCCACTGAATCTTGGCCATGGGTGGTGTGACATGACCTTCTGTGTCTCCGTCCATCCCAAAGAACCACAGCGTGTAGGATCCTGAATCCATGCTACGTGTCTTAGAGAAAAACCCTGCGAAATTCTGCAGCTCTTCTAGGACACAGCCTCAAAGATAAAGTTAATTGAAAGTCCCTGGTACAGTAATTCTTCCAGAAGTTCACTCTCCCCTCCCCTCCATACAAATTCCAAGATGTCAACTGAATGATTTTTCAGGGGTAACTGACAACCACCCACTAAACTTCCATTGCTTTTGCATGTTCACTGTAATGACTTGGGTCCCATCCTTCAGGCAGCGTCAGCTTTTAGCTCTAGCCCAGAGTGAAGAGGTCATAGGCAAGTGTGATCCACTGGACAATGGCCTGAGAGGTAGTCATGTCACTGTCTACCACTTTGTATGGCCTAGAAACTCCCTTCCCTCCACATTAGCGAATATCCCATGTCAGACAATGAAACTGAAACAACCCTTGAGGTCAAGGATATGGTTTCAATCTTCTCTAATGGCCATTGGGCATTTAGTATGCACGTGACAATTATACATTGAATCAGTGAACAGATGAGTGTTGTTTCATTTAGGTAAAGAGATCATTTTATATCTCTTAAGCAAATACAGCACAAAACAAGTGATTTTTCTGGATGAGTATATCAGACTATTTCACACCACAGCAGCTGTCACCAGATAGCATAGGTGGCCCTTATCAGGAGACAGGAAGCTGCTATCTGGTACTGAGAGTGAAACTGATGTTTCCACAAGGAAGGGGGCTGCATCAGCAAGAGAGGTCCTGAGAGGCACAGAGCGCCCAAAGGGGTAGTAATCGGTCCTGAGTTCTATCACTTTGGGGAGCTTCTGTTCTTAATGAAGGAGAGAAAATAGAGAGGCATCTGCAGCTTGTTACTGAAAAGCATTGCAACTACAGACAAGGGTAGATCCTGGTGACAGGAAGTTGCTGGCTCTTTTAGGTCATCTAGACTAACTCGTGGCACCTGAGGAGTGGTAGACACACTGCTCTTTAAAGTAGTCAGTGAACAGGTCAAACAATAATTTCCCTTCAGTAACCCAGTGGATGAAATGTCCCAAAGACTGATAGTTCAAACCATCTTCAAAATCAGACAATATAAAGGCCTGGACCTCACGTTCTCAGTGGATGATGAAGTCCCCATGGCCAGCTATGCGTGACCTATCTTAGGAGCTTGTGAAAGTCACGGATGGCCATTACTACCTGAACTGTAAGAATGCCATGTCTGCCTTCCTCTCCTTCTCAAGTTCTCACTCATATCCCTCATGGAAAAGCCGTTACCATGTCCTGAATATACACTGCGCTTAACATATTTGTTTGTTGCCTCCATGGCCTTTTCCACAGAGGGAGAAATCACTTTCACAGATAGAAAGGAGGTGAGCACAGTCCCTGAGGTAGAGCCAAAGGGGTGGCATCAAAGTAAACATTTTCCTGGTCAGGCCCTCAAATAGTATAGCAATCTTCCATCCTCATGAAGAGCAACAATACCCACTTGAGAAAGTACCACGAGGACTGACAAGTTTGCAAACATGTTGCAACGATGTTGCTAAACTTTTTTGATATCAGAGGGATTACTCATTATGAATTTGTGCTGAAAGGACAAACAGTTAACCAAACTTACTTTGGAAGTGCTGAAAAGGCTGCATGAGAAAGTTAGACAGTCTGAACTTTTTGCCAACAATTCTTGGCTTTTGCATCATGACAGTGCACCAGCTCACACGGCACTGTCTGTGAATTGTTTTTAGCCAGTAAACAAATAACTGTATTGGATCACTCTTCCTATTCACCTGACCTGGCCCCCAATGTCTTTTTTCATTACCTGAAGATAAATAAAATATTGAAAGGAAGACATTTTGATGACATTCAGGCCATCAAGGGTAATATGACAACAGCTCTGATGGCCATTCCAGAAGAAGAGTTCCAAAACTGCTTTGAAGGTTGAACTAGGCACTGGCGTGACTAGGTGATCATAGTGATATTCAGCAATGAGGTATGCAGCACTTGTTCTAAGATGAGTTTGCAAACGTAATTGTCAGACCTCATATGTGTGCCTGTGTGTATATTTTATTGAAATATGCAAGTGGAAGCAAAGATTAAACAGAGAAATATGCTTTTAGTTGCCTGTCTCATGAAATGGTATGTGGTTTCACATATGTCCAAAGATACACTGTCTACTAGACCTTGTTCATCTGGATGATAGTGAGCAAACTTTTGCTTCATCAGATTTCATTAAAGTTAAAAAATGGTAGCTTTGCTGACAAAAACCTGGGTTTGAATTGAAGATAAGTCTGTGACCTGATTAAGCAATGCTTTTATGTATTTCATAATTATTTTGCTTTTACAACTTTGATGTCCTTACATCTGCACCTACAGCTAAAACTCATCTAAGACCTATTTTCATGGCTCCATATCACCTCCATCTCAAATGGTCTACCTTTTAGAGACGACCTTGCATATAACATACTGTTCAAGTAGGAACTCTGAAGACATATGTGGAATAAAAGGCAGGTAGAGAAGAAGAGGTTTCTTAATTATAATAACAAAATTGAGAAATCATTAAAAAAATGCTGAACATATAAAACCAAATATGTAATAAGAACATGTCCAAAGTAACAATCACTGTCTTCCTTCCATGTGTTCTTGGAGGTTGAGGTACAAATCCTTTCTGAAAGAGAATATCCAAATAGCAGGTTAACCTGTATTTCTGTCTAGTAAGTGTGGCGTTTTCAAACTCCTCATAAACCTTTCAAAATGGATGTTCCATTGTCAGATGAAACCCAAGGTGTCTAATGAGAAAGTCTCTCCCTCTCCTCACCTGTGTTTCTTCTACAATTCAATCAGTGGTAGCTGGATCATCTTAGAACCTGTTCCCCATCTTCTGTCAGAAAGTCAGCTTAGGAAATATAATCAATAATATTGTAAAGTTTTTGTAGGGTGTCCAATGGGCATTTTTCTTATTAGGGAGACCACGTCATGGACAGTGTAGATGCCTTACCACTGTGCTGTACACCTGAAACTGAAGGTGAATAATAGTCAAAGTCAACTATAATTATATAAATATATATATATATATATATATATATATATATATATATATATATATATATATAATATATGGTTACAGGATATGTAGTACAGCATAGGGCATAGTGTCAATGGAATTGTAACAGCTATATACGATGTCAGAGGGGTAGTAGATTAGGGAAAAGGAGTTATCACTTTGTGAGGGGTGAAATGTCTATTACATTATTTTGTTCACCTGAAACTAATAAAAAATAATGAGTTAAAAAAATTTCAAACTGTTTTAAGACAAAATATACTATTGCCAACCTAAAAAATAACATCAAATGAGAGAAAATATGAACAACATACATAGGAAAATTTAAAATATGTAATATATTAATGTTCCTATTCTTGTTCAGCATGGTTAAACAAAAGGCCATGTAACAGTAACACTGGCAAGACATATAGCAGGCATTTGTAGAAGAAAAATAAATAACCCATAACCAATGAACAATGCTGAACCACACTGAAAAATTGTAGTAATGCAAATGAAAACAGAAATAAAATAAACCTTTACATTTAAGTGGGCAAAATGTTTAATATTTATAATGCCTAGTGCATAAGGTACTGATTTAAAGTGAAGAAAATGTAACATATAAATAGATTTATTTCAATATATTATTCTAATTGTGTTAATACATAGGAAAAACCCGAAAATATATACATCAAAATTTACAAAGATAAGATATTTTAAAATAAAAGAGAACAAAGATGTGAGTATGTTGAAAAAATATAAATTGCTTTAAATTGTTTTTAAAGATGTAATCTAATCATATAAAAGTGAAATATTAATATTGTCTTTGGTCTTATGAAAGGTATTAGTTCTCTATAGTGCCTGTAATAAATTGCTAAAACTTTGTGAACTAAAACATCACAAATTTATAATCTTACAGTTCTGACAGTCAGATAGCTGACAAAAATCTCACTGGGCTAA